ATTAAAAGGAACTAAAAACGAACAATTGCTTTACTCCGAATTGCTGCTATTTGAAAGTAAAATACGCACGCCGCTTTTACAAGCTTAAAAGCAAAGGAAAAGAGGGAATGGCCCCGCGGTGATACCGGTATTACCGGTGTTGTCACACATCAATTAACCGGTGCGAAAATTTCCTCACCGTCACAACCCTAATGCATACTATCAAAAAGCACTCATAGATTTCAGAGCACTTCAAAATCAGCCATACCTTTTCTTCAAAACAGACAGTAATCATCCAAAATTCATCCTGACCAATACATTGGTCTATTATTACTGGTTAGACAAGTAAAGCAAATTTAAATTTAGTACTGACCTGGATTAAAGATTTTAGGAACTGTAATCTTAGAATGTGTGTACAATAGAAAACTTGCATTTGTCTGTCATTTTTGACTGACTGACTAATCCAACAGTGACACTTTTTATCTAATGGATATGATTAATGACTATACCAAGGGTAGATTCAGTCTGTTATATTTCCTGTCAGTCAGTTTCTCTTAATAGTATGATCAGGTTCCTTGTATAGAGGTAAAATCAAGTCTATTATTTTCCAGTTGTATGTGGTGTTGTAGGTTTTCAGAGATCTATGTTTGGTCACACTTTATTTTAAGGTCCAATTAACTAGCTATTAACTATGACTTTTGCCTCCATAAACTCCTAATTTGCTGCTTATCAATAGTTACTAAGGCAGTTGTTAAGTTTAGGTATGGGATAGAATTAATGGATCTAAAATATGGTCATGCAGAATAAGGCATTATGTGCTTTACTAATAATATACTAATATGCATGCTAATAAGCATCTAGTTAATAGTGAGAATTGGTCTCTACAATAAAGTGTTACCCTTTGTTTTGTAGGGGATTTCTCATGTGAATGATCTGTGCATTGTTTCTGAATTTATCAGGTACTCATAGTTTTCATGTCAATAAGTGAGTCATAACTTTGGCCTTGTGTCGTCCAACATAACAGACCAAATGGGAAAAAGGAATGGTAGAAATGATGACTCGGCTGTCCCAAAATTTCCTGCGTAAGAGATGGCACAACCCTCAGTCACATGCACAGTCACGCTCTTTTGTTTTCAGATGAGTGGAGACTGTTCAGCACAACAAAAGCTTGACAGTTACTCGGTCGAAATGCTTGACCTTTGTAACACTTTGTACTGTTTACCATTGAAAATCAAATTGTTGTTGATCTTAAACACAGTACGTCATTGTTGAATTTGATTACATTAATTGAAAATCGACTTGGGGGAGACACGGTTCTTCTGAATGCAGCACATGCATCTGTGAATTCTGGTCACATGACTGCAAGAGTGATGAAATAGCTGAAGAATGTACACTTCTCTGGTTTCACTGAGATGCCATTCTGGATTAGTGACGTGGTAACTTGATGAGTTTTGAGGGATTTCACTTTTTTTAAGTGTAAGTCTTGAGGAGGGCAACAAGCTCTGTTGTCTTGAAAGTAACCCCCATAAATGAAACTGAAAAAGGGAAGGAACCTGATTTTGAGGAACATTTCATTTGAAACATCAGTGGTTACATATCATGCTCAAATCTGTTCAGAGCAGAGAGATGATGATCTGAAAGATTACAGTTTTTTTTTTTCTTTGTTTGTTTTTGTTATACAGTAATTAGGAGGACACATTTTTAAATAACCTGGGTCACTTTTTCAAAACTATTTACACTTTATAAAACAATGACTGCTTCACCACCACTAACAAAAGGTAGCATGAAGTGAGAAAAAAAAATAAATCATGTAATTTGAAAGTTGGTGTCATTCATGCATCCATAGATTCACCCACATAGATTGCCGTTGTGCTCGCTCTGTGTGAAGTTATTAAAAGCTGACATAAGTATTGAGAAATAGGTTTGGTGACTGAAAAAAAAAAAAAAGAAATTGTATTGCATTATTGAAATGTTTTCTCATGTGTGTCCGCTCAGGTGCATGGCCAGCACTGTATCTGGTACGGTGAATGTGGTAATTCCCCTAAAGTTCCAGAGAAGAAGTTAAACTGTAATTACACAGGCCCACCTATACCTTTACCTGACCAGGAAGGACAGGACCTGCTACAGGTAAGAGAACATGCCCCTTTACAACCACTAGTCTGCTGTTCAAGACGTTTCATAGTGTTTAGATGAGAGAGTTCACCTAAAAATGAAAATTCTGTCATTATTTATTCACCCTGTCTTTCCAAACCTGTATGACTTAAAGTCCAAAAACTGACTTCTTTTTCTTTAATCCCTTTAACATAACTTCACTTTGACCTTTGGAAAAGGGGATTCTTTCTGTTCTCTCACATGTCAAACCTCACAATGACAAATACTCTAGTCTAGGCAGTAAGCAATCTGAATCAATAAGACCCTTAACCTGTGTGTCAAATTCCTTTCTGTGATGTCAAACCTCTTATATTAATGACATGTGGTAGGTGGAATGGGATGAATGTCCCGGAAATAAGCTCTATGAAACAAATCCTAGTGTAAGAGAAATATGTTTTACTAATTTTAAATCTAGGTATGACAAAGTTGTTTTTAACAAGGTGGCTTTTAGGTCATACAAGACTTGCACATGGATATTTATTAAAAGGTGAAGAACCACCATCATGCCTTACTTACCAAACTAAATTGACTGTGAAGCATATTTTATTGGATTGTACTGTTTTTAATGTAAATAGACTAGGGATGCACGATATATCAGCCACCATATCGGTATCGGCCGATAAATGCTCATTTTTTCTGTTATCGGTATCGGCCCGATAAGAAAATTTGGCCGATAAATAATGCATTATTTCCTTCAAAGACACTTCAGATGCGCGCTGTTCGTTTGCAGCCTTTTGTGCAATTGTACATTGTATTATTGTGTTTATTTGATGTATATCTGATTTATCTCGTGTAGAATGCGTTTGGTTAAGTTAAAAGAGCGCTTCAGTTTACCGGTGATCATCTTTAGCTCAGCGCACGCAGCTCAAACAGCAGTGCACAACATTAATAACTATGATTGGGAATGTCGTGTATATAACATTCTAATGAGAACACTATTATAATAAAACGTTGTGAATTCTTTGGGCTTAGTTGCCGTGTTTCAGCGTGTTGTTATGGGAAGAGCGCATCCACTTTTGTGCAATTGTACGTTGTATTATTGTGTTTATTTGATGTATATCTGATTTATCTCGTATAGAATGCGTTTGGTTAAGTTAAAAGAGCGCTTCAGTTTACCGGTGATCATCTTTAGCTCAGCGCACGCAGCTCAAACAGCAGTGCACAACATTAATAACTATGATTGGGAATGTCGTGTATATAACATTCTAATGAGAACGTTATTATAATAAAACGTTGTGAATTCTTTGGGTTTAGTTGCCGTGTTTCAGCGCGTTGTTATGGGAAGAGCGCATCCAAAACAGGATCACACATTCTGACTATAGCACGCAATAACTGCGTCATTTTGTACATATATAAGTTGTAATATTATGTTTATGTTGTATTCATATTAATCTCAGGATGCATTTCCTTGAGTTAAATAAGCTGCCAGCAAAACGCTTGAGTTTACCATGTTCATTCAGCTCTTCAGCTTCCAACCCTCTACGCACACCTTGACAATATAATCGCCATTGGCTAGTATATTTTTTTGTTTACTCGCCAGACTGAAATACTATACTATATATACAGTGGGTACGGAAAGTATTCAGACCCCCTTCAATTTTTCACTCTTTGTTATATTGCAGCCATTTGCT